TGCGTCATAAATCATGCATCATCAAATGTAAATAGCGAAGAATATAATTGCAATGACGGTAACTTCAATCAATTAACAGGAACAACATGCTGTCCAATTTGTTTCGTTCCTTCAGCGCTTGAAGTTACTATTGGCCACATCATTTCCCGTTGACACCATATATGAGAAAAAAAAGTCAATTTCATTTGAAGCATATTCGCACACATGATTGAATGTGCCCAGCAAAATGAGGAATCGGTGGAGCGTGCAAGGGAAAAGTCATCAATTATAAACAATTTTGATGCCTAAGCAATATTTGGAGAATGAATATCAGAATACAGGAAAGAAAAAAGTGCTGGCATTTGTATGCCATTGAAGTCAAAGACAACCACATAGATCATAATTTATCATGGATAGAAAATTATGAATATTTTTTGTTACGTTTCTGTGCGTAAATTTATTTAAATAAGGAACGCAGAAATGTGCGTGAAAACGGGGCAAAGCTTCCACCTTAAAAATTTTTGAAACTTTTTTTCAATGTATAGATCCATTCTCGCTAACAGGCAAAACTCTTTTATTTACTTATTTATTCAATCAAATGACTCTATTTATTTTATTTTTATTTTTATTTTATTTTATTTTATCTTTTATTTTAACTTATCTTTTGTATCAAAACTTTTGCTTGATTATTGAGGTCTAAACTTCTATAAGCATGCAATGCCGTCACTTTCGTGTTTTTATGCAAAAATTCTGGCTTTGCTAATTTGGTCCCACTCCAAAAGCGAACTGCCTAACTGGACAGCATTCCAAAGAACACAGAAAATTTACGAGCTGTGTGAGTGCATCGACATTCGTAAAGGAAACAAACGCTTTGTTTGCTCAAGGCATATAGTGAGTGCAGCGATTGAAGATGTCTTGGCAAAAAGCCAATAGTTCTGCCCTAAATTTATTCAAAAAGCTGAAACGTTATGGTACCAGCGTTTCAGTGGTAGGCAACCAAAGTGGATGTCCCGATATTGCTACCGTTAGCTCAGCTGATCGAAAGCAATCAGCTGACGTCAGCAGGTATGCAAACGCACAAATGCACATCATTTGTATTCATGCCATGCCCAGCAAAGTTTATTTCTTGCAAAAGCAGTCTCGAGAACGGACTCAAACTTCATAATTTTCGATGTTAATTTCTGAAGAGTGAAGAGGAACCACAGTGACTGCAAAAGCTCAAAGTCTCTACCATCCATACAGTTTAAAAAGTTCCAAGGCGAAAAAAAATCTGCAAAAATGGCAACAGCAGCAATATTCAAGTGATTTAAAATGATAATACTTATGGCTACAATGGTATGATGGTGGACTGCTGCTACTAGAAAACTGGACCATTTGAGAAATCAGAGTTGCAAGCAACCATTCGAGAAACCCAAGAAAACTAGGTGAATTATTTCGTCATTGCAAGAAAAATGTACACGTCTGCTGACTAAATGGACATGAAACAAAAAAACTGCTGTCCTAATCAGTGGAAAAAATATCGAGCTAAGATGGCAGCGATTAAGCACTATATAGTCTCCCATCGATTAGACATTATGAATCAAAGAATTGCATATAGCTCAATGGGAAATTTTGTAAACAGGTCCGGAAAAAAGTTTCTGAAGCATAACAATATCCATTCTTTTGACGCATAGCTGAGGCGGAAAATTTGAGAAAACAAGTTGTTAAGGAGGACTTGTCTATTTTCGTGGAACCACAATTCCGTAGCGGTGTAAGTACGAAAACAGCACTGTTCAGCCTAGCCTTCCGAAAAATCCAAAAAAAATCAACCTTAAATTTTGGACAAATTTTTGGGAAGTTGCAGAGCTTGGCATTTGTCGGACCACATAAGTGATCACGCTCAACTTAAAACTGTTTGGCTATTTTCTTGAACCTGGTGGGGCTTAATTGCGGGATGAGGGGAGGGGAAGGAAACAAATGACTTCCGAGATTTACTCATTTAAAAATAGGAACTAATTATAGAAATTTTAGACTAGTTAAGAGAGCTATTTCTAACGAAGAAGATTATAAAATTAATTACGTGGCACTTGATTCAAACGATGAGAAACAAGACATATGTCAAAATAACCAACAGCAAAAGAAGGGTGTAGGTGGAAGTTTGTAGAGTAAAAAATCAAAACCGGCAGAAATATGTAACGATAGCGACGCTACGATTATCACGAAATGCTCCAATAATTCCAGACAGAGATGCATTTATAGCCTGATAATTATTCATCGCTCGAAGACGCGTATTTATCTAGCTTCGTTTGTAGAATTTCGTACTGTAAATCAGATTCAATACTATAGCCCCAACATGTTGCTAATGTGTACGCAAAACAAACGTATGCCTTAGAAGCCGCAATGTCGTAAATAACGCGCTCAAAATGCACTAAGTCACACAGGAAGCCATAGGTAGAAGTGCAACATCGATGTGAAGTGTAATAATAGAAGAGCAAACACAGAATCAAAGCGTCGCGTTTCAGGCGACGTCGTCTTATCACTGGAGCGCAACGGAATCGATGATTGAAAAGGCGCTGACTCTGCGGCAGCAGCTGAGCTGAGTCAGTTCGTGAAACTTCCCAGAATTCTGCGTCATCTGAACGTTTTTGCGCTCGAGCCGACACCTTTACTAATCACCCAAGTGCAGCAAAATGAGTATATGTAGGTCCCGGAAAGAACACAAAAATGTGAACAAGGCGTGACTAGCAGCATAGGGTTCCTATGTTAGCAACGCTACCGCACTTTCACGTTTACCTCCGACGAATGTCCACCCAGCACTCGTTTTGCTAAGTAAACATAGTGAGTGGTGAACATTAGGTTGATGGCTAGTGCCTTGTGCAAAGTAAGTTCGGATGTAAATTGATATAATTAAGAAGTTTTGAGCAGTACCTTTCCATTCTTATGCCCCTAAATTCAAAAAAGTTCAGCTGGTAAATATCACTCCCATATATTAAGACTCTCTTATCGTAAAACTAGACTCTAGCTCATAACTTTTCCGAAGTCGGAGTTGTTAAGAGAAGAATTTTTCTTCAGAGAATTTTTGTGTAGAAGACACCGAGCACGATGCTTCCAGAAGTTGTCTAAAAAGGGTATCTTAGTCACGCTGATAAAAGCAAAATTTTTTCTAAGATAGAAAACATTTTTTGTTAAAAGATAAAAGCTACAATAATCAAATCCTCCATCATTTTCTGAGTGCCTTCCCCTGGTCATTGTCCTACTCTTTCAGGTTCTCAATTGCATGGTACTTGAGACTTTTTAAAATGAGCCTGTCCATCAATGAAAACCAGGGTAGCGCTTTATAGCCTTTTTCTGAAATGCTGTATATTGAGCGCTGTCCGGTATTCCTAACATTGAGAGAAAAATACAACACAAAGGTAGGACGTAGAGGTAAAGTAAAATAATTTCTGGTTGAAAAAAATTGGAAATTTTTGTTGCAGTCCGACAATTGTGTAGACTACAAAAGCTAGGATCATTTTGCAAGTAAAATGTGATTATAACAAAAAATGCGGAGCTGTGCAATTTGAATTTTGTGAAAAAATATGTAGCGTAGATAGAAAGAATCTGACAGCCTGTGCCATGCACTCCACACATAAATGGTTAATGCTTACCAGCACTAAGCAGTACAACACCTTAGGAAACTTCTATGACGTCATAGAGTTTCCGCAATTTCATGTCCTTCACGATCATGAAGGTCAAGAAAAAGTTGGATAGGGAAACTCTTATGAGGGCACATTAGGTTTTCAAGGGATAGATATAACGTATGAGGCAATTGCATCAATGCAGAGGGTAAGGACAATGTTGATATATGTAAATCTATGGAGAGGAGGACTTTGAGGAAGATTAGGCACTCTAAAAATTTGGTGATATGTGGAAAACAACAAAATGTTGACAGAATTGCTATCTAAGCGACAGAAAATTGGACATATGTCTATCGACTGAAAATCAGGATAGAAAGGAGGAGCTTCTTCAAATACACTTTTCCCCAAGCCTCTCCCACACCTGCCCGAGGCTCTAATCTGGACATCCGCACTTCGCGCGCGCCCCCTTCGTGATCCTCTCCCTATTCACATCGGTCCTGTCCCCCGTCAACAGTCTGCTCCTCCTCCCACACTTGCTGTCTCGCTTTGTTAGCTTTTCAGAGCGGTGGTGACATAGTCGTTAGAACCCCTCTGTGTGTTGTGCGATGCGTTGCGTGGTCTGTGTGTATTTATGCGTCTGTTTGCTGTATGTAACCGGTCCACGCCCCCCAGTCAACGTTCGCCCCGTATCTATGACGACAACGGCTACAATTATCTGATTAAAAACCGAATCAATGAGGATCGCATAGCTGTTAAGCTTGGAATATGTTTCATACCAGATACGATATTTGGAGGGATTTAAAAGCCGGTGAGGGTTAATGGAAAAGTAAGAAAAAAGAGATGAGTATGTAGAATTAGAGCGCGACAATAAATTTCTGTACTAAACACAGCGGAAAAACCATATTTTTGTTGACAATGATAGAATTGTGTGAAAATTGAGATGTAAAAAAAAGGTGTGGGCATCCCACCTACCCCCTATATGAATTAGTGATGAAAAGAACAGAGAAGATTATCGACCAAATTAGTGATGAAAAAATTAGAGAAGATTATTGTGAGGTTTTTTAAGGTTTTTCAAAGGGCAAGTTCATGCGTAAGCTTATTCGTTAAGAAAAAAGTTCTGATGATTTCTCGCTTTCCTCCCCCTCCCCCGCGCTATCTAGCAGAGATATGGCTACGTTCAAAGTTGCTCGTACCAGCGGCGACGTCGTGCCAGCAATCAATACTGATCGCGTCAACGTGAGGCTGGCACGATGCTAGACAAGTAACTCCGGATGCAGCCGTATAAAAAACGCCACATTTTTAGCATTGGGCGATTTTTCTGCATCCCCGTTATATTTTAGAATTTATATAGCGCAACAACAGTAGGCTAAAGAAACCTGTAAATGAGTAAATTTATTGCAATATACAAAGTGTAAATAACACCTGGGTAATAGCTGGTACTTCAGATCATGCATGAGGTAGTTAATGAACAAAAATCAAAAATCACAATATACATAGTAGATCAAACTTTGAAGTATTTCTTAAGCATGGCAACCATTTCTGCTTTTTTGGTGCCTTTTTTGACTTCACATGCTAGATGTTCGCTGATAGCAACACGTAGTTGTGCAACAGTGAGGGTTTCAAGCTGAAAATTTAGAATAAGGTCCTGAGTTGAGAGTGAAATTTGATAGTGAAAAATGACTGACCTTCCCCTGCTCTGCCAGTTCCCGTGCGTCCATTTCAGCTGCATCCTCTTTCCCCTTTTTGCTTCGCACACCGTTCTGCGATGTACCTAAAAAGAGACTTGTACTAAAAGTACCTTCTCTCTTCTAGTGAACCCACTATTAGCTCTTTTTCTGCCTGTCGGTGAAACCTTGTTCTCCAGCTCCTCCAAATGAAAGTGCTTGATAAGACTCTGTGATTCTTTCTTCACCCTATCCGCCCATTCAGGTCGCGCGTGATAGGGTACTGCAACAAACAATTTCTTTTTGCTTGCAAAATTCATATTATGAACAAATTCCTCACATAAAGTATCTGTAGGCTTCACTATCTGTTCTCCGACAACATTTTCGATTATCATAGCGTAGAAGGATTGCAGTCCTGAAACGTTAAAATAGGATAAGGAAAAGCAGAAAATTTAGTTAAGGGAAAAATTCGGAAAATAAGCATAAATTCTACTGCAAATGAACACGATGTTGATTGTGATCAGGGCAGACACTTTGCTGAGTTTTGAATGACATGAAAATGCAGCCCGCAGAGGCAAAAGGCCAAAAATTTATGAATTTTAGTAAAAGTCAAAGGTCGTGTATTATAGAATTTCTAGTAAACTCACTTGGATTCTCATATTGCGATGGATTGTATGAGCCGGTAAGTTTCTTCACAAACGCTGAAGCAACACTGACGTCAGATTTCGATGCTGAAATGTTACGAATACACAAACGAAGGATGCCTTGTCAAAAAACATCATAGAACCTTGCGTACACTCTACCGTTTGCCTTAACATCTGGTTGTTTTGTGAAACTTTTACAGAATCGCCGGGGAACAAAGAAGCTGGAAAAAACCACTCCCTGTTTCTTTTCCCATATTTCTCCGGCTGCAAACTTCTTTTATTTTGGACTGTTCAATCAGAAAAAGATTGTAGAATGGATATTTCTCTATCAGACTGATAGAAACCCGCAGCTGGTTTCAAGTAACCTGTTTCAACTTGTTCAAGGTGCTATCACTGTCGGTCGTATATTATCGTTCATTAACATGTGCAGACGGTTTTCAACGTGCTCAAACGTCTGCCACGTGCCACGTTCTCCGATCTATATAGATCGCATCTCCAGATCCGAAGCTCATTTCCAGCAAAATCTTTTCCGAAAAACTAAAATCTCCGACTAATGGCACAACAACCGCATTGAACGACAGCATCAAGGAGTAAGACCCAGAAGAAGACCTCGGAAGCGGTTTCATAGTCGAAGACACGATTGCTTGAGCTGGACAAGAAATACAAGCGTCTCGAGTAGGAATGGGAATTGGGAGAGCTAGATAATGCCTTTCCAGGTTAGCATGTGTATAGATCTACAAGAATTCGAGATAAGTCAGCTGGGAAAGATGTGGTATAGCAAAGCACTCAAAGAGCCATTTACTAAACCACTAAACTGACGCTAGCTCAAGTGATACACTGGTGAACTAAAAGATCGACTCAAAGGCAGTGTTTCGGCAGAATTTCGTTTTCCAGTTTCCACCTTTTCGAGGCTTCTCGACATGAGGAATTCATATCTGGGCTTTTCCGCGCATGAAAATGGCAAAAACGAGCTTTCCAGGTCCGCATTCAGCGAAGGTCCGGAAGTTTTCGCGCCCCACCTCCCTCGTTCCGGGCCCCGCCCTCTCACACGTATTCTCCACTGATTGCGGACCTAAAAAACTTCGGGAAAGCTCATTTTTGCCATTTTCACGCATTGAAAAGCCCAGATATGGATTCCTCACGGCGAGAAAACTCCAAAAGAGGAAAACTGGAGAATGAATTTTTGCCGAGACATTGCCTTTAAACGTGCCTAGACCGTACTCACTCCGAGGAACAATCGGCTCACCGTACTCAAACAGATTCAGGCAGTTTCTTGAATCTACTAGCACGTTGGACAAAGGATCTGAGTCTGCGTAACAAGTGTTACTTGGGCAGCTGCCTGTCTGCGCAGCCAGCCGCCAGGGCTAGCGCCAACCGCCTCAACTGCACTACCGTAGGCACCATCGTCGTCCAAAACTTCTTGCTAGCGGATTTTCAAGGTAATCGCCTCCCGCACCTCCATGCGCTGAACGGAAAGTGCCTAAGTTTACGAGATTGTCACAAAATTCCTATCAATCAAAATCGCAAAAAATTCAAGATTATCATTGCTAAATTTGAGACTGATATAGAGAAATTCAAGAGAGTAAGATATTAGGCTATGAAAAATAAATTTGCACCTAAACTACTGAAATGGAGAAATTCAAGAGAGTAAGATATTAGGCAATGAAAAATAAATTTGCACTTGAAGTAAATACATAATCATAAAACTGTTATGTACCAGAGCTGATGCAGAGTAGCCTTCATCTGGGAGAGCAAGCGCAAGAGTCAGAATAACCATGACTGTAACGTCTATATTTAGCTAACTTGTTTACAAAAACAAATATCTCATAATAAATGACACATCATCCCCCGACAACTTCCTAAGACAAAAAGTCCGTGAACTAATAAGCAACCTTCCAACAGTCTTCATCAGTGAATCCAGGGTCGAGCAAGAGGTCAGGCACAAGTCCTTCAAAAACGACCCCCCCTCCCCCTGTGAAAGCCCCCAAACGACCCTCCGCTTCACCTCCAAGTCCTTAGGGTGTTTTATTTTGAAGAAGACCAGCCTTCACTGCAGGTTTTTATTTTTTGAAAGTCTCTAGGCCCCACTTTCTGCGACTGCACAACACACGCAGCTTGACGGAAGTTTTAGATCTGGAATAGTCCTCTTTTCAGAGCTATAATTTTCACAGGGGTGGAGTGTTTGGCTTCAAATCTTCAATATAGCAAGAAGAGGCTTTGCGCACAATACTAATATCAAAAAAGGGGCGATTTTTGAATGCTGAAGGCAAGTTAAGAGGGTCAGGCGCAACCCCTCAAAAGCTCAGGCGGCCTGACCTTTTAAGGGGTTGCGCCTGACCCCATTAACTTTATTTCCGAAAAAGCTTTTCTATCCAAGTTTTATGTGATTCGCTAGCTCAATCCTCGAAGATTCCACAGTAAGTGTTTGAGCTTGATTCGACTTGTTTCGGCCTTGTGCTAATCCGAGAAGTTGAAGCACTCAACGTGAAAAACGCGCCGGTTGCAATTTTGGCAGCACTTCTTACTTCGCTGTTTGAAAGCGATATGAAGTCCGATTTGTAGCGTAGACTTATAGAGAACGTTACTTTGTTATGAGTATACAAACGCTGACTTTTCTCACTTCTAAAACCAAGTTGATCACGTTTGAAAATTACACTTTTTAGGCGTTGAGAAACACTAGAAACTGCAGTAGGTAATGGCTTGTAGAGCGTATAGAGGTAATTTGACATGGAGATTATGGAAACGATACCCATTTCACACAGCAAGCTTCGTTGGTTACCTCATATGTTAAGGTAAATGAGAAGAAGATTTGAATTTTGGCTGAAACAATCACTGTGGAAACAATCAGTATGCTGTTGCTATGACCATTCTCCTTCATGTGATCGCGCTATCCACAGGACTCTTCTTCATTTTCATAGTATCTCCCCAACTTAATAAATTCGATTCTTATTTACGACCCCCCCCCCCTCAGTCTTACCCTCAATACGATCCCCCAGGTCGGGCGCGCCTGACCCCACGCTCAACCCTGAGTGAATCGTCTGTTGTTCTTATCAACACAGAACAAGGTGTTAAACTTGGGGATACGCGCGTCTTCCATCGTCGTCTGGATATCACTGAGATATTAGCTCCAGTGTCGAGTTGAAAAGGGAAGTGTGCGACCTTTCAGTTTGGCACCGATGTATGTGCGAGCGGCCTGTGCTGTAAAGCCAACGGAGTTCTTGCACTGTTTTTTTCTTCAGTATTTTTCCTTTTGTTCATGATACATCATCTCTACTTGTTCAGTTCTGGAAGGCAATGATGGGCATATCTTCTCCAGCTTTTCCTTGGCTGATTTGAGTATATAAAGCTCGTTTTTTGTATTGCTTGTGCTGCGTACTGTCCTCACATATCAGCGTAGTTGTTTTCAACGCTGTCATATTCTCGCAATCATTGATGGGTTCTTCGTTCGTCAAGGTCCCATCTTTGCGTCTGATTGCCCCGCACAGAAGGGCTTTGGAGTCCTGCAACAAACTGCAATGTCTTCGCCCAGTATAGTAAAGTTCCTTCACCTGCGCTTCTCATCCATGCGCTTGGTCCAATTCGCGAAATTGCGAAACGCAGTGTGCCCTATCGTCAATGGTGGGCTGTTTATTTCGGGGCACGCTATCTTCCTCAATCGGGTGTCTTCCTTAAGGCGAACAAATTCGTCACGCTGCTAAAGACGGCCGAGCTTTTCAATAGCAAGAACCCGCGATTGATGGCAGCCCCATCACTGCTATTCTTTCTCTATTCAGATGAAGATTTAATAAGATGAATGAAGCTACAGCAGGGACAAATAAGCACAATGAAGAATTGATGAGGATCTAGCAAGAAGCGATGCGCGCACAACATGAAGAAACCATGTTGCTAGTTAAGAACCTCCGGAAGAATGGAGAACCAGACAGAAGAAAATAAACCACCAAATCACCTGACGTGCACAACTTCTTGCCTGACGAGGATTTACGTGCGAAGTTTAGCTACTGGTTCAGCAGGTATGGCCCCATGGTAAAGCAGGCCAAAACGTCCGACGAAAGAAAAAGGGATCTGATCCTGATAAAAATGAGTGAGCAAGCGTGCCGAAGATGCGCGATTCGGTTGTTCTTGGCATAGTGAGCTTCGTCCCTCATCGCCACTGTTATGGACCAGAACGGATGCGGAGAAGGCTTTATGATGAAATGGCAAATTTCCTTGATCCTACAATTGAAACTTATAACAATAACGTTGAGTTTAATCTTTACAACAAGACAGTTATATTGAGGTCATTAAATACCCACAATGGCTTTCTAATATACCAAGATATATACTTACATCAATACACTTACGTCAGAAGTTCTTAGGATTTACAGGAACTGTTCCCGTTACATTGAATTCAAAAATAGAATATTTGGACTCTATCGCAGTCCACTTAGAAATGAATGGGATGGGAATAAATTTATTCTTGTTTTATACCACATACTTTATGATGGACCATTCATTTTACGTAAATACGGATTTCCTACTGCTATACATCTTCCTCTGATGTACGACCTACACGAGACTTGGATGGATGCCAGCGCGCGGTGGTGGTTGGGCGGGACATGCATTTGAATAGTCATAGCAGTCCCCAAAGCCATGAGGGCAGCTGACAAGCTGACACCAACATCGGCTTCCGGTGATAATATGGAGTTTAGAGCTGAAGATACAGTACTGGGAGTTTCAGATATTATTGCTGAGTACGAACTCAACCTGCTTTCATAATAATGCTTCCGCCTAAACTCCGGTGCGAGGCAAACATTGATCTATTTAACTCCATCATTATAGAGGAGTCTCATTTTGTTAGCTTCGATGTACCATCCCCCTGCATTAAGAGTAGGGGAAATTGTGAGATTTTTTGATGGTAACATCTTATGTTTGATTTCCTCGTAAATATGCGTTATAGGACTCGTGACTATGAATTAACATCCACTTATATTACTTTAATGCACCATTTATGGTATCTTATTACCTCTTTGGAATTCGTCGGACTTACACTCCTCCTGGACTTCTTATTCTCCTCTCCTCACCTAGTAAGGTTCTTATTTTCCTCTCATTCCCTATAAGATCTACTCTCAGTCATCATTTTGAACCCTATACTTTCGCAGCTTTCTTGGGAACTACTGATGATGGGCCGCCAAGAAAGCTACACTACCGATCTAGTTCTTAGGCCCCAAAATGGTTATGTATAAAAATCAAATATACACTTTAAATACTGTTCTGCCCTGATCTCATTTTAATCTCTATATACACTCATTCTAATATGTTATCGTAACATTTACCCTATTTTCAGGTTATAAGCCGCAGCTCTTCGACTTTTCAAACGAGCTGCTCAGCCGCCACGATGCGTTTCGGAAAGCGATCCTTACGCCGCACGATTAACACGCAGCAATGAATAGAGTCTTTTACAGATCTCTTTGGCGTGTTTGGGCTGGTCAATTTTTTGGAAAAAATCCCCGGTTCTTATACATATGTAATTAGGATAGCACAGCATTTCCCGTCAGACATAAACTCGAGAAGTTTAGGAAAGCAGTAGACATATTCAGGTTATTTATATCTGAGTTTATTACGTGCTAAAAAGTATGAAAATCTTGCTAAGTTCACAAAAGATGTGAGATAATTAATTGCCAATTGCATTAGTGGACTGAGAGTAAAAATGCTTCGAAATAAACTGTAGATATTTTGCAGTGCTGATCAATATACGTTCCGAGGTAATCGTGGGAACCCTGAGGCGATTTTCGCACCTCAATCATAAAGGCGAGGCTACCATAAAAGTCCGTTAACAAGATATTTTGAGCGAAAATGGTGCCCTTGCGGCTGTTCAGCTACGGTTGGCACCAGTTCTGGAGGCTGGCTGCGGCACCAGGCTGCTGCCTGGATAAGTCTCTATGTCAGAATTTCCGCATCTCAGCATGTAAGGATTTTCCCTTCCAACGCCTTCGACTCACTTCTCTTCAATATAGTCAAACAAAACTTTTGACTTATGAAACAAATTATGAAAAACGCGTTCTTACTAGGCCTCTAGGAGAGGCAACCTAAACTTGTTTCTAAATGGCTGCCATGATACTGCTCAAGCCACTACTACTGACAAATACTCTAAACTCCTTACGTTCCGGCCATTCTCCCTCAGGACACTGCATTTTCTCGGAAACATCCCGTACGTCTTCAGCGAAAGGCAGGAAAACCACATGGAATCCGTCAAAATCATAGTCTCGAATAACATCCGTTCTGCTCTGAACTTCACAACAATGTAAACAACAGAAGAACATAAGAGAAGCGCTATTATACCTCAGGTTTATCCGACATGTGTGGTACAAGTGCGACCAGACGCACTTTCTGGTTGGCTCGTGAGCAAAAACGACAGATCATAGCCATCTTCTTTTTCCAACAACGTTCCAATAGTGCACGGTACAGACAAGCGGAACCGAGAACGTTCTAGAAAATTACTCCTACAGTTAAGAAATAGATTTGCCGCACGAGCACTCACGCTCTCATCTGGATAGATAAACCGAGAGGGCTGGATGTGGTTCATAAAGTTGATCTCTGATATTGGTCTGAATCCAAGAAGCACAATACCTAGAACCGTTTCGAATGACATGCCTTTACCTAAACATCTATAACGATTGTCCAAAGGATTTAACTCACCCTTCGCATCAAATCTACCCAGCTCCTCTATTTCGCTTTGCTCGCTGACTATGCATTCACCACCAATTTTTATTGCCTTTTTCAGCTCAAACTTGGCTCGTGTTCGATCTCTGATTTCTTGTTCTGACGAGAAGATACCGGAGACTTCAACGTACAGTAATGTCTACGGTAGAAATCAAACCTAGCCACTCTGTGTCTGCTAAAGCATCCGTTTCGTACTCCTCCTTGACTGTCGGTTCATCCTTGACCATAGGTTCACCACCACGACGATGTTTACCGGTTTTTTGACTCTGTGTCTGGAATATTTCAAGTCTAAGTTACTGCTGCATGATATAACAGAAGAGCTAACGTCTAATGTCGTCGATAAAAACTAGTAAAATCCCGAGTTTCAACACCTGTACCAAAACAGAGAAGGGCAACAGTCAATTGTTCTAACCAGAGGAGAGTTTCTCACGACACCTTATTGACGCACACACGCACAGTCGTCTTTTAAAGTCACGATTTTACATCGAAAATATCAAAGTACGAAACAAGAAAGCGTAACCCGCAGATAAATGAAGAAATGAAGATATTAATGTTGATTATTTGAATATCCAAGGTCAACACAAGCACAGTTGCTTCTTTACTAGCTTTCATACAAGTATGTTCAACACTTGAAACAAGGTACACCATTGCTTTTCTTCTCTTACGTCACTGATCATACTGTAATTTGGAAGCTGAGGATGATTTAGTTGTCAATAAAAGAGTAAATATACCAGCGAAAGCTAATTACTCACTATCATTCATTCCTTATGGTCATGCGAACAGAAATAGTGAAGCTCACATCAACATCAAGATCAGGAGAATGCGATGATTTGAATTGCGAATCACGCGGATATATTTTCTCCACAAAGCCTCTTGGCGCGCAGCATTGATGACTTGATTAAAGAATTTATAAAAAAAAACAGTTTTAAAACAGCGGATAGGGGTTTTCCTTACAAAACGAAAAGAAAAAGCAAAAATACCTTTTTGTGTTCCTTTTATATCTGAAGAATTCAGCAAAGCGATAAGGAAAAGCTTAGACCATGCAGGCCTTAATGACTCCGTTAGTATTGTAGATATTCCGCCTCCCAGTCTCAAAAAACAACTAACTCGTAATCGCTCTTATGATCGACTATGCATGAATACCGATTGTGTCGTATGCTCATTTAGTCAACCAGGCGATTGCATGGAGGCAGAAGTAGTATCAAATAACTTGTCAAAGTTGCGGGAAAGAGTACATAGGAGAGACTGGCAGGCCTCTTTGCATGAGAATCAAAGAGCACTTAGATGGTCTTATGAAATCTAAACCGAACACCCCTTTAGGCGCTCATCGCAGAGAGTATCACTCGGATCAACAATTTATATAGCCGTCAGAATCTTAACGTGTGAACCCGAAATAATTCCTCGCAAAACGCTAGAAGCATTTTGGATAACATTCAAAGCTCCTGCAATGAACCGCAAAGAAGAGGGCGTTGCCATGAATAGTGATCTAATCGCATATCAGTCCCCTTGCGGATTTGATCTACACTGAGATTAGATTCATCTATATAAGGCACTTGTACTAGTCTCTAACTACTGACTGTGCAGACGCTGTGTTTAGTGGTGGCTCGACCCCGATTCGAAGACAGCCGAGGTGAGCATTAACGACGGTTTCCGTCACGGCTTTCAGCCTGGCTTCATGTTGAATGTAGCCTTGGCTTGAACGAGGCGTTCGGGAGAACAAACCACTAATGTGACGACCTCCCAACTTTAGCCTGATTGAATAAAGCATGCTACAATCTTGGTGATCGGCTCAAGTAAACATATACGAATATCTACATTATGCCAAGATTTATCAATAATCGAGCTTGGAATCTTCGAGAAGAAGAAGATTTTTCAAAAAAATTTTACGCTACGCGCGCATGTTTTGCCATTAAGTCCTAGCTGTTTATATGACCGGTAGTAAATAAGCTCTGTGAAAGGAATCTCTTGTGATGTTGACAATCATTGTTGATGATCTATGAATCATCAGCCTCAACAACCAATCTGATAGCTTACACTCACACGGCTATATCTGAATTTCTAGTACAAATGCTATTACGAGGTTTTGATTGTATTTATTTATTTACATTTCAATGGATTTCGCCTCCTACTTGCTCGCCCGGGGTGTTGATTTACGGTATTCCCCATAGGCTATATTCCCCAACCGCTTATATTTAAGTGCCGAATCACTCACCAGTGAGGGGTGGCACCTATCTTCCAGGAGCCGCGCCAAGCCGCGGTATCCTCTTTCTTGCATATATTATTTACTGGAGTCTGATTGTGCACGGGTCAGCTCCTCCTAACTACCTATATAAGGAGCCCCTGATTGTATTACAGGTTTGCTCCCCCCCCCCCCCCCCGGTCAAACACCGGGGTTCTTAATAGACTATTTAACGACTGCATCATCTGCAATTATCTACAACGAGACATTAGTTTCCACCAAAATCATCAATATCGGGCTATATAAGCGCCTTCCCTGGCAACATTGATTCACTATTCTCTTCACTTCTCATTCGTATCCCGTCGCCAATGAACTACTACTACTTTTAGTGTTCTGAAACCACCATATGGAAAGAAGACTCAAACAGTTAGCGAGCTAATCTAAACTTTCTTGGTGAGGCCGGGACCGCCAGCTTTTTTTAAATAAACGATGTTAGACAACTATAATGCTGTGCAACTTCGGAGCAAATTGTATAACTCTACCAGAGCAATCATATGGTATATCGGCTAAGCACGAAGGCAAGAATCTTCACTTATGAAAATACCTACAAAAGCCTATATGCCCTATCTTATCCTGAAAACTCTACGTAAACGACAAAATCTTCTAAACGTAGTCAGATTTTACTTCTTCCACAATCTTTTTCTAAGATGCTGAGATCTACTTGAAAGTATCACAGGATCTCAAAGGCTCTCCCATGCCAAAAAGTTAACTCGCGGAAAGCTCCGCTAACGCAATTTTGCAATAAAACAACACCACTTTGCGCGACGAGGAGGACACCGCATTGCATGAGCAGTCAAAAAGTAATTGACTCCTCCATACGATTGGTCGTGTACGTTCGCTTCAAATTGTCCAAAATTACTGTACTATCACAGCTTCATGTTGGAATAGGAATTGTTAGAAGTGTCGCCTTTTCCAATCTTACACGGCCCAATAGCCGCTACCGCCTTTAGAACGGAAGTTCTCCATCTTCGTGCTCTGCCAACATCGACTTTTATGCCCCCACTATCAGGATTATGGTTAATGGTGTTTGATCACTGTGTGTGCTCTGTACAGATACTCTGACTCTTCTGCTTCCTATTCGTCCGCGAGCGTATTAGCTTCATGCGCACTGCTTGCAAATGTGTTAAGATGTTCGAAGACAAGCTTAGAATCACCTTTGAGTTTCGATTAGAAGACGTGAGCTGCGCTCACTGGTCTCCTTACCGGGCTTACTGAAAAGATTGAGTGTGTTTGGACGGTTCATTCCTTGCACAAAAGGTCTCAAAATTCAATGCTCCATCAAGAAGTTCTGAAGAAGCAAATATTCCAACAACCACAAAAACGAGACTATAAACTTCGCGACATTGTTGAGGACTTGGATCCAGTCATAAGCATGGAGGAAAAATTCACATGGTAACCAAAAATTTGGGTTAGTTGTTCACGAAAAATCAATGAAGACCATCTTGTTGGGGGCGCAAGTATTGCAAAAGTAATGACCGATGAATACCCGGCCGGCTCGGGCCGTGGGTCTAACAGCAGATGCGCAAAGGGTACAAAATCGTTCCCAAAGCGTCCAACTTACCCTTCCTAAATCTTCGATCTTCTACTCTTCTTCACCCTTTGGCAAGTTCTTCCTTTCTTCTTTCATGCACCCGCTCTAAGCCTGCGCCTCCCATTCCTCCGGCTCCTGCGGTCCTTGACTTGCCCTTCATCCTGGCTGCATTGCTTTGCAACACCGCATCCTCCTCAAGCGGAGTGAAAATGAGCTTTGCCACCCGTGTTTACACGGATATCGGAGAATGCTTGGACAAAAATGATGAGCTTCCATTTCCATAGATTTGAGTAAACAGCTCAATAAATCAAGAAGGACCCAGCAAAATCCAGTGAAAATTAGCCTAAAATCTTTCCGGGGTCGGAAACATGTGTGCAAACTTTCAGCCCAATCGGTTGAGTGGAGGGCCTTTCTATGACGCACATAGCCTCAAACAGGCAATTTTTGAGTTTAATATATATAAAGAGATTCAAGAATGCGTTTCTGCAAATTTTAGTAGTTCACTTGCAATCGTATTCTCTCTACTTCTGCCACTCGGCTGTGTTGCCTATCGCCTTGCGTCTGTACTAAACTGCGTATAAAAGACGTTATACAACTATTCAATCAAGTGTAAAGGACCATTACTACTGGAGCAAGAATGACTCTATTGTAGCTTAAAGGCGCCGTCCACTCTCGGCATCCATGTTTTGACCGTTCCGGAGCCTTCTCATGTCCTTGATTCCGAATATGAAGTATAGAATCCGCGAAAACCCCTACAATCCTCGTTCCGGAGAACCCGCGGGCCCGCTTTCCGGGACGGTGATTGGCTGGGCGCGCAAGGATGGGCGGGCATGGATGGGGAGGGCGGTGCCGTCTGCGGTTATCGTGCATATTCGTAATTCCGGAGCAATTTCGCGCCCGAGGCGACAGCTTTGCGACTTGGGCATTGGCTTGATAGAAGGCCCTACTATCACATGCTGGCGAAAGCTCAAGACCCTTAACTTAGGTGGAAAGTGCCTTTAACCTACAGAAAATACACCCTGAAACGAGGGAGGCCCGCGAAATCTGCAAAAAAATATGTGAGCTCGAGAATGAATGAGCATTCAACTTATCCAGTCTGGTTGCATCCGGCAAAACCATACAAAGAAGCTTACATCTTCTTTCGCTATCCATACTTGTCTTTTCTCAACAGGATTTTCCGTATCGTAATCCACATATTCCTTGGCAGGTGGACGAGCTTCGCTTGCTAACGCATACCTAAAATCATCTCACTGCATGCTTTTTTAATAAGTCGAACTATAGATCTTACACAGCCACGCTAAATTTCACTCCTGGACCCAATTCAAATGGTATATTGCTGAATGCTCTGAGTGAGAAAGTTTTCTGGTAAACCCTGCAATACAAAAGACTTCCAAAATGGTTACAGCAAAGCAGCAGTATTACTGAGTCTCCAAGTCTTCTATAGTACTGCTCGCGCCAATATTTGGATCCAGTTGCCGCTAAACGTGATTTTGAGATTTCAATACTTTGTGCCTATCGGACTGTACTTACCCAAACCCTCGTATCTTTTTCAAAGGCTTCGTCGTCATCATTATCTTCCTTGCGTAGCAAAACTACACAAAAATCACCCATAGTGCGTTTTCCCTTCTGATGGCGGAACGAACTCACTCCTTTCTTCATCCTAGTCTACAAAAAATGCATTGAGCCCATATAAAACAAAACTGGCGCAGAACCCACAAAGTAGCCCTCAAATTGTGTAGCCCAGTTTTCCTCAAATGGGTTGGTATCATTGGTGACATATACAATGGTTTGTTGTCGCTGCGATACACCTTGCCTGAAAATATTGATTAGCGAGAACTGGTCCCCATCCTCTATCACTTCTACAGCCGCAAAATTTGCCGAAGAATTAGCTAGTGTCATAATATATGCTACTACCATCTCTACAAAATATGTATCTGTGCCTGGCTACACCCAAAATTACCAACACATCGTCACCTGTATGGAAAAAAATTCTTGCATGCATAGTTGTGTAGCATCTAGATTCCATAATTACGAGAAAGTAACAATGAAGAAGTTTGATTTTAGAAACAATAGAAAATGAATTAGACGCACGAGAACTAGTCTCCGCCATAAATTTGGCAACTTCTCTCACTTCATGTCATAATTTCATAGCACCAAATCGTACAGTATCGATAAAAATCAGAAGCTAATTGCTGCCCCTCCATTTTCCATGAAAAAGAACTGCTAGTTGTGAAGAAAAATTTGTTAGTGACAAAAACTCACTCCATGAAAGTTTTTCTCGAATACCAAAGAAGCGTTGATAGATCACATTTCGAATGTCCACCAAAACGTTTCTTGAACGTTTTCTCGATGTTGTCTATAATCTCATTTGTATATCAAGCGATGAGCTTATGGTTTGTTTCGGCATACCTTCATCAATGAACTCCTTCAGCATACATACACGTCGTTGATCTTCGCCAGATTCATAGTCAGTTCGCACCTTTAGGTCAAACCATTCTACACAGTGCTTTACTGCTCCAGCAGATTTTGTTTCAGAATTAGCCTAGTTAGGGTATAGCAATGAGAACAATATTGTCACGATATAACATACTGTATTCGCAATGAAGAGCCCATAACGATGAGTACGTGAGCCGGAGCAGCCTATTTTCAGCAACTGGTTGAATACAGCCTGCACATTAGCACAATACATCCTGTACTATATACGAAAACGATTTTGAAAATACCTTGATGGCTCTTTTGAAGTCGCAGTCGTCTCCACCTTTGAACATATTGGCTCCGCCATCAATCCAGAATATGGTATACTAAATATGCTTAGTGTTAAAAAGCTTCGAGCTTTTGATCGTTTTGAACTTCAACCCTGATTTCAACGGTTAAGTAGTGAAAATACCTTCTTGTTGCTTTCGGGCGCAGTGTCATAATCATATTCTTCCCCGTCGTCGTCCATTTTGAGCCAGAGGGTATCTTCAAGTAAAATGACGTTGTTGACTTGATCAGTAGCAAAGGGGTGTAGTTCGAACGCAACGAGTATAAACCCAAGCAATCGCAAGGAAAGCAGACAAGAGTATCTCATGTAATCAAATTTATTCCCACTCAGTCAGCTCAATAAAATGACCACTTTATCATTAGAAGAACGAAGCCAAACCTACACCTTTTTCAAACCAAAGCTTGTGATGAAAATGAAGAGCAATCTCCCGCCTTACCCTCTTCAAAAATGGGTCCCGAAACCTTCGGAAGTGTATTATTTCTATCGTTGAATAATTTGAACTTCCTCCTCTTTTTTTTCACAAGTTGCAAACTTGCGAAAAATTTGGGGAACTTCTTAAAAAATTTTTGGGAACATTGCTCAATGTTTAAATATGGGAGGCCCCTCAAAACGCTTACATTTTAGAGGCAGAAAAATTTTGCACTAATCCTTTATACTAACAAGGAAAGGATACTCGATAACCCCGGCCAATTGGAATGCGATGTACACCGTAAGGTGCACCTCGAAACGCTGATTCTAAATCTGTCCTTGAAATCTGCGAAACAATCATATGAGGGCAGTCATGAACTTTTTTCGTGGAAAATTTGCGTACTTTTAGGTAGTTAAAATCACCCAATTTAATCTGTTTTACCGTTTGAAGCAATTGAAGAAAATCTTGAAAGGTGTAACGTTGTATTTGTATCTTAATCATATTCAGCATTTGAAGAGGAAAGCAACATTTTTATTAATGATTTTCACCCTCCGCAGTAGCGCAATTCATTTTTGAAAAGATAAATGTAACTCTATCCAGTTTCTCGTTTCGCAGATACGGAAAACAGTATTCGAACCAGCAATAAAAGGTGCATTTTTTATATACAAACCATCATGAATGGCCGGGGTCACCAAATATCGTTCCCTGTTAAGTTCCTTCAAGCTTCGTTCCGAGGAGGGGAACACCCCTGAGAAATTTTTCTAGAGGCTAAAATGATTTTTTTGAAAATTTTCAAAGTTATTTCATTAGTTACAAGTGTAAACAAGTCACTCATGAAAGTAAACAAATAATTTGCATTTTTTCGGGCTACAAACAAGAGAATTTTTCTTGCTCTTATTTTACGATCTTGCCGTTTTCCTTCCCATTTTCGTAATCGGCTCGAAGAATACAAAGCCTATACGTGGAGGCAAGCTTAAATTGAAAGGCGAGAATGAACACCGCAGCTAGTGCAACGAGTTCAAAAAGACGTTTTTAATTTTGGAATAGCGATTAGTATTTGCAGCGTGGTTAGTGGAATGCAAACCGTAATTAGAGTACATCTGCAAAAGGTCAATGCCAAAAAATTACATAGGCCCCATTCAAGTGAGTTGGTAGAGCAACGAAATTGGTGAAAATAAGGCTAACACTCACTTGAGATGCTGCTCTGCTGCTTTCATGCTAGTCTCGTGGGTTTTTCTTTCAAATAATTTCGCTAGTGATGGGCAATTTAGGTACTAGTTGTTGTCCCATTTGTTCGTTCCAAGTCATGTAACTTACAAATCCTGTTGTACATTTCTGCTCATTTCAACATTTTCAGAGCGATTTGTTGGATATCACCACTATTATAATAAAAAGCATAGATTCCGGTTAATTTATTCAAAAATGTTGACCAAATGACTACAAGTTCGATGTCAGATAACACATAGAAGTTTGTGATGGCTTTCAGATTCCTGTTTAATCTGACGATTATGGCCGAGGAAGCACTCAAGGAGCGGGGAGACACACGAGTGAAAAAGAAGAAACTCAAAGAAGGGAATAAAGTCACTGTTTTTGTCAAAGTAGCTTTAGGGCATGTCCAGCTCTTTATGACATTCGTTGAACGAAGGAAGTAACTACATAATTTTAGACGAAATGGCTTCGGAAAACTTGCAGAGAGAGTAAAGGAAAAAGCGCGAAAAGTGAGAGATAACATATCACCTTCTCCCCGAGATTGCTTGTACACGGTGTTTATTGTAAGCTATGTAAGCACTGTTTGCAAATGTCATATCTTCTTGTTTTCTCATCGCATACTTGCTTTTGTTTTTTCAATAGAGTAGATCTCTGAAGCAGATCCACAACAGGTGTACAGTGAGCATTTGCACACATAAAAAAATTATCAAACTTCAGATTCTTGTTTGATCGTAAAAAGCCTTATAATTGCACTAAAAATCGAATATTATGAGTTTCATAGTCTGGTCCTATTGAAAAAAGCTTGTGCTAATTGCATCTCCATAAAAGGTTACAATTTTCGAAAAAATGCAGAAAAGACAAATTTGCTATTTAAACTGCTTGCTCGTAACTTTTTATAGAAACATACAATTCGCACTAATTTTTCAGTTAGAAAGATCACATAAGTCTGATTTTTAATGTGCATTTCAAATTTTTTACAACAACAGAAAACTAAACTTCGAGTGATTTCCTATTAGCGTTCCTATCCATGCAGTACGAGCTCATTTGAAGTCGCTAGGAAATTGTTATAAAAAGCGTGAACTACTCTTTCCGATCAAATCATAGGCAGGCAAGTTCGCCGAGAAAACAAGAAGTTTTGGACTTTTCAAAAGGCGGAAGAACTTTTATATTAACAAAATGACACTAGGAAAGCGCTGGTATCGCTTGTATTATCTGTGCAACTTCTAGCGCTCAGAAAAATTCAGAAAAACCCCAAATTAATGTTACTCAGATATAGGTCGGGCTCAAAGGCGCTTTGTTATATGGATGCGACACCAACAGCCAGAATATCCTGTGTGTGCTGCAAAAGGGATACCCGTAATCTGATAAGCACTATAAAATGACACGAAGATTGCAATTTTTTGAATTCGTAGCAATTGCTGGATGCTTTCGACAGTAATACAATTGTTGACTCATAATAAATCGTACGCCTCGCCTCATATGGACGCTAGAATTGACTGATTGGCCCATAGAATATGGAAAAATTGGAATGCTCAAGCGTTGCAAAACAATTTTCACACTGCAAAGTTTTCATGTGGATCAATTCCATTATTGGTTTGTAAATTTGCTACACTCAATAAATTCAATTCAGACGGCAATGGCAACGAGTTGTGCAGTTTCAAATGTGCTACACCTAGTGCTCGGAGAATAACGTTGTTGCATCCATCGAAGATAGTCCATGGCTGGAAGAGGTGCAGAGAAAAAAGGGGCGAGAGGGCATGAGAAAAGAGGAGTGACGCGCAGTGCACACCCTGCAACAGTCTATATACAAATCTTCTGGTTGTTTCATTATATTCTCTAATACTAAAGGTCCGGGCATACTTCACGCGATTTCAGCCGCGACGCGATTTGGCAATACTCGAACTGTCCATAACTCGCTGCGATCACATTTAAAATGCACGGAAGATAGGGCATTTTGTCAATCTACGTAACTTATACACACTGTGCACGTGTTGCTAGCGTTGAGACTGAAGACTTCTGGCGAATTGCCAAATCGCGTGAAGTATGCCCGGCCCTTAAGACGGACGAATTCGAAACGCACAAGCGTACCCTGATCGGCGACGCGGCAGCGACGCGCAGTTTTCTCCGCCGAGCGCGACAGCGAGCACGAACTTTGTTTTTTACACTTCTTGAAGCTTCAAATGCCGACCTTAGTATGCTTGTGTGTTCCGAATTCGCTTTCGACAAGGGTTTCCGAACTCAATCAGCATCAATCACTATTGTCACAAAGTGGAGCAATCAAAGCTTTGTAACTGATGTCCAAAATTTTCGGGTACAGCCATGCGCACATAGATGGTTTTGTGATTTCGTCCGCGAATCTCTACAAAGCTTTCTCCACAGTCTGAAATTTCTCCAAAATATCACGCAATGGAGAAGCATCGCTACATCTGAGGCTGAAATTCCCACAAACGGATTTGGTCACGACAAAATGTTACCTTTATTGATTTCAGAAGGCCGCGCAGACTGAAAAAAGACACTGAATTGCGAAATGCTTGCTCCATCCGCAGGTCAGCAAATTAAGTTTGGGATCCTGATAAGAATGAGAATTAACCAAAGTTGTACATGATGAAAACATCGGGTTGAGCCTCGGTGAATGACTTCGAAGAGCAACCAAATCGAGAACATAATTGCTGAAAAGAAAGAAGAGATATTTATGGTGGTTTGTTTCTTTGCCCAACCACCCCTACCGCGTCTCGCAATATCCTCCAGCATCGGGTGTATGCCCTTCTGAACCGCTTCGTCCTAGCGCTAATTACTCTGCCCGGGCGGCGCTAATTATTCCGCCTTTCTTGTAATCTATCAGAGTTTTCGGATATTTCTGAGCATTCCAAAGCAAGCGAGGCACACGAATAATGATAGTGACGATGTTTGAATTATGAAGACAAAAGTTGATAAATTTGCATGTTTTTCTTACTAGCCCTTCGTGATTTCTTCGCCTTCCCACTTTTCAAAACACCATGAAGTCTGCACGTGTAAGCTGAAGAATTTACTTAAGCCGCCCACGCATAACATTTTTGAGTTTCATAGGAAATCGAAATCTTGTTTAATTCTTTTTTATCATGAGTATACCCTTGCAATTCAGACGTCTCTAACGACAGCATAGCTCTCGCCTACACAAGCCCCGCGCAGCGCCGACCAATCAAAGGCGCGCAGTAATTAGGCTGCTAATGCTAGCGGTTCAGAAGGGCCATCTCCCTCCAGCATCAAACAATTTGTGATCGTCACAGTGAGCAGCCTATCGTTTGTTCTCCAGAAAGATTCCCAAAGGTCATCTTGCTGCCTTTTGCTCTTTTTGAACATGTTGACCTCGGACAGTTCCGTTGAAATCTCAAGAAAAACGTGTTAAAAAGAGCGAAAGGCAGCGTCGCACTAAGTACCCGCACTGGTTCACATGGGAACTTTTCTGGGGCACACAGGATATGTAAGCAAGAACTGAAAGAAAAATTTGAAAACTATCTTCCATGTTAGATACTTACTGTACCCCAAGCTAAAGCAGTTATGTATATACAAAGGCGTGCCATGTCGAAGTAGCTGAATGGTAAC